CCCCTTCGTCGACAATTTTATCCCAGCAGCATCACATCAGCAATCTTTTCCGCTGCAAGCGCCGCATCTGACGCCTCCTTGGCCTGGGTCCAAGTTCGTGGCTTAGGGTTCCGAGTTTAGGGGGTCATGAGGCAAGAAGCCAGGTTCTTGATCTGAGAACCCCTCTTTTTAGATACGGCCTGCGAAAAGGCGGGACCCACAGGCTACAGGTAGGGCTGCGGAGCTCACACTCGGACAACGCAGGCGACAGAGCTGGAAAGCTTCCCAGTTTAGGGATCTCTGGCTTATACACTAGGGCTCAGGAGTTCATGGCTTACCGGCTTGGGGGTTCAGGCATGGCATAACTAGACTCGATGTAGGGTTTAGGCATTTCGGGTTGTGGTACTTAAGGTGAGTTCATTCGCGAGCTTTGCGGGTTTGGTCGCTCACATTCACAAATGCCGAGCGAGGCTCTTGGTGTGTAGTTGGTTGGAAGTGAAACCAATGTTTGAATGCGAGTGGTTTCAACCCAACAAACTGTTCAACGAGCATCCCGAAAAACGATGATTCTGTCCAGTGGAGAAGCCGTCGGGTGACGATAGATGACCGCTGAGCCCGTAGCTTACACAACAGGTTGCCAGCGTCGTCCGCGTTCTTTAGTGAGACCTAGCCTAGTTGATAAGCTTGGGTGAACGGTGAAGGTGCAGGTACAGCTCTACAGAGGTTATATTAGCTGGGTTGTTAGGGTTAGCAGAGTTCTGTGCCCAACCAACCACTAACTAGAGCCTACCAAGATAGGTTTATGTACGATTCAGGGAGTCTTCTGCGTTATACGATCTGTACGTTTTTTGTTTAGCATGCCTTGCAGGGCTTTTGGGGTTTTCGGCGGATTGCCAGTTTGCAGGTTAAGGTCCAGGGATCTGTCTTATGGCTCAGGAACAAGCTGCGCTGAGCAGTTCACGTGCCTTTTCTATTGCTCAGGATGGTTGGCGGGTTAGCAAATTATTTCAGAAGGCCTCCTTGGTGAAGCCCTTGGTCGCAGCTAGCGTCATTGCTGCCATGGCTTTCCTTGTCAAAACACGAGCAGATGGGCGTTTAAGCTGCGAAGCTTCGCGCTACCCAAGTGCTCGTCTTCCCTGATCCCCACTCGACTCTGAAGCAGACCAGGCATCTCAACCCGCTCCATGAAGGAGCCCACGAGCGGCTCGCAACCGAACTTGTCCAACAGGGCAGCCATGAAGGATTCAATCTCCTGGTTGGGACTCTTTGGCTCGACTTCGAACTTGCTTGAACTGTACCTTACAAAAGCATGAATCAATGAACGTCCAACGGAAGCTGCAGACAAGGACGAATCAAACATGCCTTCCACAAACATCTCCAAAGCTCCTGTGCTCCCACTGGCACAATCTGCTGGTCGGTCGTGCGCCTCCATGGGCAAAGAGATGCACGAAGAACTCAAAGGCAAGGATAGGGAGAGACACGTCAAGAAGGACAGTGGAGCTCGCTAGCCCGGGGCCTGGGGCCCTAAACCCTCAAACCGTTCTAGAGAACCCTTTAAGACCGCCTGCAGAACCCTTGAAGGCACATGAAGGCACTGGACATCCCTCTAAACGTAAGAAACCTCTTCTTCGGCGAAGATTGACGATTTGCACTCGGCCGCTTCTTCGGCGCGGAGGGCTCGGAGACCTGTCCGGACGGCGGCTTGCCTCGGATACGTTGGGTCGTGGGCTGAAACTCTTACGCATCGCGCTGTGAGGCGGTTCCTGGGGTTCTACTACTTGTAATAGCCAAGCACCTGCTAGCACGTGCAATCGAGCTTCGCTGGCAGCCTCATTCCGACGTCTTTTGGCGCGGGTAGGCAAAGTCACTGCTGGTACTGCTCTTGAGGCCTATTTCGAAAACACTTTCGAAAACCGAATAATACTGAGGGAGGCTACGATTGCAGCCTACCGCCGCAGGCAGCTGTCGTTTGTTGTACTTCTTCCTGCTACAAGCAGAATCGGCAGGAGTCGGCTCATGGCAGCAAGAGCAGCACCAACTAGCAGTGGGAGGAAGAGGAGGCGGCACAGAAGAAGCAGCAGGAGGTACTGGTAGTTCTTGCTGACTGGTCCAATCTCGATGCAACAGTGGAGTAACCGCATCAGCAACAGAGTTTGTTATAGGTGTCCGGGGCCAGCAGCTCTGCTGCTGTCAATCAGCAATCACATCTTTTGCTTGACCCTCTAGTCCTGTCTGAGCAAGCCCTAAGCAGCAGAATGCCAAGGCCCCTCAACTTCGCCCGTACCCCTGCATTAAGAAATATACCTTGAGTTTTTGAGGGGAACTTACTAAGCTAACTAATCGGATCTAGGTATTTTTCAGGAAGCTCAGCTATGGGGTATAGCCAGGGGACCTTGCTCAGGCTGCCATCGTCCCGACTGGCCCAGATGCTGAAGGACTTCCCGGCGGACGTGCGCCATCAGCCTGAGAAAAGCTGAAGGCGTCTTTCGTGGATGAGCTTGGAGATCAAGCGTATTGTGAGGAGGTTTACTTCCTTAAGGGTCTTCTATAATAAAACCCTAAACCCCAAACCCTAAAGTCGAGACAAGCGAGGCGCACGAGGGGGCGGACGTGCAGCTTACGAGAAAAAGTTTCGAGATGACCCTCATCGACTGGAGGTCGCCGCTAGAATACTCTAGGACTCTAGGGGGCTTAGAATGCTTAGAATATAGGGTTTTGGGGGTTCAAGGACATTCTAACTATAATACTCCATAAGAAGATCTCTCCCTGTTGCACGCAATGGCAGATGTCAGGTGTGATGCGGGGGGCTCAGGAGTTGAGAAGACGCATGCTGCAAACGGTTGCCCTTGTCGACAACAAATGACAAACTACCAAGAGGCTGAATCTCCTCGGCATTTGCCTGCTCCATGCCCTCTACCACCAGGGTGTCGTGGATCTCCTGAGACAGGCCTGAGCTGACCAACTTTCAGAGCGTTTGGGTGAAGCACCTCCGGAATACTATGGACGAAAACGCGATTCTACATCTTCGGTCCAGCTGCAAGCCAAACCATAAATGCATTTTGCCATTGGCATTCCTTGGACCCCTCCGGGCCTTGCCTTCCCTCTCCCCTTCTCTTCGGCCGGGAGGAGCATCGGGGCACGTAGCCAGATGAGCTGTAAGAGGGCCATCGCTGCATGGTCCAAAAGCGGCTTTTTCAAGACCAGGTCATGCAAAGCCTGGAGTTGCCGTCCCAGGATGCCCCAGTCACAATCCCAGCACTTGGTGATGCCGGCTAGTGTGCACTCGAGCAGCGTAGGAAGCAACAGGATTCCCAGATTCCTTGCATTGAAGGAAAGCTCCACGGCTGTGGTGCTGGGCTGATTGCTCAGGTGTTCTGCCAGAGCAGCCTCCAGCTGAAGGAAGCCATTGATCCTCAGGTGTGCGCAGCGCACGGCTATATGTCGCGCTTCAGTTTAAAGACAGAAAGTGCAAGGCAACTTGAAATCAATATGCCCAAGCACATGTCGCTCATGATGGCCATGCCCTCATCTGCCGCCGCATGACCTAGCTCAAGCATTCATCCCCGCGAGCTGTGTTGTCCGTGCCCCAAAAGCTGCGGTTGTCATCACATTTGGGACAGTAGTGATAGCTATGATAGGCCTGTCGGTGTTTCGCGAACGGCTGGGGTGACTAATTAATTGAATATCTACGCAATTTTCTACAGGTGTCGATACGACTATTGCTGTTAGAAAGATCTCATGCATGCGTGAGAAAGACTTCTAAAGAGTCACAAATCTACTAAATGCTTTGTGGCAAGCGCCTGTGCATTATTGTATTCCTTATGGCTTGTTCTTGAAGCGCGTTTTTGTGCATGTTGAACCTGCTGAACGAAAATAGAAACAGGGCTGCTGCTATTAGTGACTAGTAAGGTGACTGTTGACTTCAACGGTGGCAGATGTCGGACCCCCAGTTTCCACCGAAATTCAATGGTGGTCTGTTGAAGAGTTCAACCGTGGGGCGAGATTGTTTTGACTCGACGACCAGACAATGCTGGCTAAACTATCCATACACTTGCGTTGCGGGTGGGGCATGGCTAAATTCGGAGTAGTTCATGGTACCAGCTCCTAAGCCCCAAGCACTAAGGAAGACGAGGGAAAGTGTCTCACGAAAAGCTGCTGCTCAACCATCAGACACGTGCCAAACGTAGCCAGGTTGTGCAACATACAGGACAGAAGCTCCTTAAGACAGGAGCAGCGACAGAGACGGGAGACGCTGACATTTCAAATCAAATCGGAACTGCTCTGTGGCATCTCCCTGTGGTTGTCTAGGTGCCACATAAGCACAAACTGCAAAAACTTGTGGCTACATCTCGGGTGACCCGCAAATGTCGAAAGTCCTCGCCGGGCAGCCACGAGCCAGAATTGAGCCCGCCTGACAGGAAGGCGGTCTTGGCTCTCTTGAGGGTACGGGACGCCGATGGCCATGTCAGTTTGCAAAACTCGTCCATGGCCAGGAAAATTTTTGCTAGTGAAACTGATTCGCTGTGCTCCCCGCAGTCGGAGAACCGGACGAGCTGCAACTGGCAATTAGTGCAGCTCGTTCCCTGTGAGGTGCGGCGGGCTTTGCGACAAGAGACTAAACATCTCGCAACATCTGTGGACTTAATCTCTCACCCTCTCCAGGCCAGCGAACTCTGACCAACCAATCCGGTGAGCGAAAACCTCGGAAAAGCCGCTCGTTGCCAACAGAGCAGGTCAAGGGGTTGAAGGTTCATGGCATGCGATGTTTCTGCTGCGAGGCAGCATAAAGATTCAACGTGAACCAGGCCTCCACAGAGAGCACCTCATCGAGGCGCCGAGCGACCGTCATCTCGCAACCCAGGTGACTCCTTCGACACTAGATGGGTGGTTGGAGCTTCTAGAAACCTAGGGCTTCGGGTACAGTGAGACCCTGTATACAGACAGCTCAGGCAGCCACAAACTCATATAGCTATATATATATATAAACATAATATATATATATATATAGTATATATATAATA